TGTTTTCCAAAATGCTGCTCCCGCTGAGGCGCTGGCCTCATTTTCGCGCTTCCGCTCGTTCCGAAACGTGCTCCCGCTGGGGCACTGGCCTCATTTCCGCGCTTCTGCTCGTTCCCAATCGTGTTCCCGCTGCAACGCTGGCTTCATTTCCAACGCTGGCCTCATTTCCGCGCTTCCGCTCGTTCCGAATCGTGCTCCCGCTGCAGCGCTGGTGTCATTATTTCCAGTGCCATGCCACGGCATGGTTTTCGGTCCTTCCAAATAAGCCCCCAAATCTAGAAAACGGCCCCTCGACAAAACCATCGGAAGTAGCTACACATTCGGTGTCGATTCGTTGATTCGTTGGGCCGCAGAAGCCCCCCACCTAGGGGCGTCGCCACGCCATGCTATGTCTTGCTAAGCGTTGATCTTCAACACCATGCTATGCCTTGTGATGCTATGCCACGCTACGACATCCGACTGTGCGAATAGAGAGGAGATCTACGCCATGGTAAGAGATGGGAGGGAGGGGTAGGACTTCAGATATGACGCGAGCGCACCTAGCTTGTCCTCCAACCCCTCCGCTTTCTCCTTCTTTTTCCCTCCCCGCCGGCCCCTGCCCGCTCCCGCGGAGGCAACTGGATGCGGCGAGGAAAAATTAGAAGGAGAAGAAGCCAGAGAAGAGAAGAGAGGAGAGGAGAGGAGAGGAGAGGAGGAGGAGAAGGAGGAGGAAGGGAAGGGGGGAAGGGGAAGAGGAGGAGGAGGAGGACGACGACGACGAGGACAAGGAGGACGAGGCAAATGACGGAGCGCAACAGGAGGGAGGTAAGGAGGCTGTGGGGCTGTTCGAAGGTGCCGGCTCGCGCGCGGCGCACTTCGCTGCGCCAGCGCTGCTTGCAAAGATCATGCGGAGGAGGTCACTCGAAGGCTGCCGGAATTGCGTTCGGCGATCCTCCTCCTCCTCCTCCTCATCCGGGAGGCTCGGTGCGAGCGTGCGGGGCGCTCGCTTCCAGCACACACGCGCACGCACGCACACAGCGCACGGCGAGTGTGCTTTTTCCTTTGTTGACGGGCCTCCCGCTGCAGGGCCTGCGCCTCGCTCCCCCCGCTGTCATTCCAGTGCCCCCCCCCTCCCTGAGCTTAGCAATCGTGCTGGCGCTAGGTCGGGCTTGCCCCCCTACAGGAGGGATAGATTCGAGAATAGCTTCAAAACATGGCCTGGTGACGACGTGCCCTGCTTTTCTGGTTACTTCGGTATCGTGTTTTGGCGATCTTTAGGTCTCTTCCAGAATCCGCCTGTAGGAGGAGATCCCCGACCTAATGCCGGCTTGTTTCCACTGCGCTCCTCGGGCGAAGAGAACCATGCACATGCACCGATCCTGGCAAGGCCCCGCCTTGAGCCAGGATCTGTGCATATGCCTTTCTGGACAAGGCAGGAGGGCGTATGCACCGATGCTGGGCTCACGATGGGCCCGGCCAGAACCGGTGTATGTGCACAGTTCTTTTCCTCGAGCTCCGTGCTTCCAGCGTTGGCCCCGCGACCCCCCGACGGTCCCACTTTCACCTCCTGCTGCTGCCGGCAGTTAGCGTTACGTCGGGCCTGTCCCTCCACAGGGGGGATATCCAAAACTAGTCAAAAAATAGTCTGGGGACTATCTTTTTAGCATTTTTTCACAACCATCCTGTGGTGTTGGGTCCTCGTCTTGAAGAGACGGTCCCCGCGTTCTCCTCCTCTCGTGCCCCCCCCCCTCCTCCCTACCGTCCGCATGCGTCCCGCACGCCGCACACCCAGTACAGCGCTTCGTGGCCCCATAGGGAGCCCAACCGAGGTCCCAGTGCTACCGTCCGCATGCGTCCCGCACACCCAGTACAGCGTTTCGTGGCCCCATAGGGAGCTCCACCGAAGGTCCCAGTGCTACCGTCCACATGCGTCCCGCACACCCAGTACAGCGTTTCGTGGCCCTCCTCCCCCCCCCTCCCTGCGTTTCACCCACCCAGTACAGCGCTTCGTGGCCCCATAGGGAGCCCCACCGAAGGTCCCAGTGCTACCGTCCGCATGCGTCCCGCACACCCAGTACAGCGTTTCGTGGCCCCATAGGGAGCTCCACCGAAGGTCCCAGTGCTACCGTCCACATGCGTCCCGCACACCCAGTACAGCGTTTCGTGGCCCTCCTCCCCCCCCCCTCCCTGCGTTTCACCCACCCAGTACAGCGCTTCGTGGCCCCATAGGGAACCCCACCGAAGGTCCCAGCGCTACCGTCCGCATGCGTCCCGCACACCCAGTACAGCGCTTCGTGGCCCCATAGGGGGCCCCACCGAAGGTCCCAGTGCTACCGTCTGCATGCGTCCCGCACACCCAGTACAGCGCTTCGTGGCCCCATAGGGAGCTCCACCGAAGGCCCCAGTGCTACCGTCCGCATGCGTCCCGCACACCCAGTACAGCGTTTCGTGGTCCTCCTCCCCCTCCTCCTTGCGTTTCACCCACCCAGTACACCATTTCGCGGCCCCATAGGGAGCTGCACCGAAGGCCCCAGTGCCCTCGTCCGCACGCGTCCCGCACACCCAGTACAGCGTTTCGTGGCCCCACAGGGAGCCCCACCGAAGGTCCCAGCGCTACCGTCCGCATGCGTCCCGCACACCCAGTACAGCGTTTCGTGGCCCTCCTCCCCCCTCCTCCCTGCGTTTCACCCACCCAGTGCAGCGTTTCGTGGCCCCATGGGGAGCTCCACCGAAGGCCCCAGTGCCCTCATCCGCATGCGCCCCGGAAGCCCACTTTTGCGTTTTTACCCACCCAGTGCAGCGCTTCGTGGCCTCATAGGGGGCTTCACCCAAGGCCCCAGTGCCACCGTCCGTATGCGTCCGGGGGCTCCACCGAAGCCCACAGTGGGACCGTCCGCATGCGTCCCGGTAACCCAATTTGGCATTTTCACTCACTCAGTAGAGCGCTTCGCGGCCACATCGGGAGCTCCACCGAAGCCCTCAGTGGGACCGTCCGCATGCGTCCTGGAAGCCCAATTCGGCACACCACCCATACAGTACAGCGTTCCCCCCAGCCCAGTGCAGCGCTTCGTGGCCCCATAGGGAGCTTCACCGAAGCAGATATTCACAACTACGGTACCCACATCTGCATATGGTTGGGACCTTCGCCAGGATTTGTGTTTTATCATTTGGGGGGGATTTCTTTGGCATTTCCCAACCATCCTGTGGTGTTGGATCCTCGTTTTGAAGAGACGGTCCCCGCGTTCTCCTCCTCTCCTCCTCCCCCTCCTTCCTACCGTCCGCATGCGTCCCGCACACCCAGTACAGCGTTTCGTGGCCCTCCTCCCCCTCCTCCCTGCGTTTCACCCACCCATTACAGCGTTTCGTGGCCCCACAGGGAGCTCCACCGAAGGTCCCAGTGCTACCGTCCGCATGCGTCCCGCACACCCAGTACAGCGTTTGTTTCGTGGCCCCATAGGGAGCTCCACCGAAGGTCCCAGTGCTACCGTCCGCATGCGTCCCGCACACCCAGTACAGCGTTTGTTTCGTGGCCCCATAGGGAGCTCCACCGAAGGTCCCAGTGCTACCGTCCGCATGCGTCCCGCACACCCAGTACAGCGTTTCGTGGCCCTCCTCCCCCCTCCTCCCTGCGTTTCACCCACCCAGTACAGCGCTTCGTGGCCCCATAGGGAGCTCCCCGACGGTCCCAGTGCTAGCGTCGGCATGCGTCCGCATACCCAGTACAGCGCTTCGTGGCCCCATAGGTAGCCCCACCGAAGGTCCCAGTGCTACCGTCCGCATGCGCCCCGCACGCCACCGTCCGCATGCGCCCCGGCAACCCAATGTGGCACTCACTCAGTAGAGCGCTTCGCGGCCCCATAGGGAGCTCCACCGAAGCCCTCAGTGGGACCGTCCGCATGTGTCCTGGAAACCCAAGTCGGCACACCACCCACACAGTACAGCGTTCCCCCCAGCC